TAAATTCCAAGTGAAAATAAGGTATTTTACAGTACTTATGTTTCACAATATGCGTTTCATTTCTCAATATATGAGTAAGGAAAAGATCAAATTACGGTAGTTCACAAGCAGCATGCGACACAAAAGAGAGAACCTTTTGACAGTACACAGAGATAAGATGCTCAATTTTTAAGACACAAGAATTCAGAGGAAATGCTGATGGCAACAGCTGAAAATTAAAATACAATATAAACATCATAAAAAGCGAAAACTCGCTTTATAATTCTTTTCTGGCCCACTGGGTTGGGGTTATACAATTTATACAAAAGGATATGCAAATATACATATTGCAATTACTACCAAATATGGGTATTTGGGCTTTTAAAAGTACACAGTATGTATGCAGTCTTACCTCCAGATCTTGGCGTCAGATACCCAATGGGTCCTTTTAAAATAACCATTATTGCAATATTAGCCAATGACCTATCGAGAAAAGACAACATTTCATTGATATGACCACATGGCAATAGGGATTTTTTTAAATAAGGGAACAGGGGTGCAGGGCCCTCATGCTATGGCAATGCGCCCCCTTACCCTGGGGAGCAGATCCTCTGGCAACCATCAAATTCTGATTGACCAGGGATCACATGTGGCCACAGTCTTTAACTGTGACTTGTCTGATAGTAATTTTGGCCCCAAAAAAGCCATAGAATGCTCTATTTTAACTTAGAATTATCAAAAACTCCACACCCTGGTAGAGTGAACCCTATCTCCTCCACTTGGTGGCGCTGCTGAACTGCAGTGCTACCTCTTGCATTTTTTTTCTAGAAAAACCCATGTGGCAAAGTGAATCTCAACAATAAGGATCAGCTGATATTGGCTCAAAAACCACCATGTACACAGACAACCATGTAGAGCAGATATGGGAAGCCTGTTGACACAGTGACCCATTCAAGATTTTTAGTGACCCCAAAAATAAACAAGTGTCTCATTTTGAATAAGTGGGTGATCACAGTTGCCATGCCACATAAAGGCATGTGCACACATTATAGACGTAGACATATTTAGCTCTTAAACCAATCACTATTAAATACTGTAAAATACTTTATTTTAGCTGGAATTAATTTTCGCTGAAAAGACTTTTTTTTAAAGATTTGAATGGAGTTCATTTTCACTGATTCTTGGAGAATTGAATGTAAAATATAGGAAAAAATGCATATTCGCTGGATTTTATTTTCACTGAATCATCCCTTTAGCGAAAATAAATTCCAAGTGGAAATAAAGTATTCTACAGTATTTGAATTTGAATAAGAGCAGATCATCAGTATTTACAAATTTGTATAAATCGAGTTATAAGATGGGGTACATTTTTTTTTCCTTCAAGTTCAAAAATCTTACAATTTTGTAGCAGTAGAAATATCACTGGGGTCCAAAACACATAGAGCCACAGAGACTTTCACAAAATTTTGTCACGAACTCTATTAAATTATAAATCATGAAAATTCCTAGCGACTACTTACCCAGACTGCATTTGAAACATGGTCACCAAATCAGCCTCTAATGCTTGTAAAGACATAAATGCTCTCGCCTTCTGAGAACTGAAGAGAAAACAAGTGATTGACAATAGTCTATTTCACTGAATTTATATTTGAAGATATACATGAGAAATCTTTAATACATAATGTGATTTCTAAGCAACTAAACAAGGTTGTCTAGGATGAACAATGTAGTATGTTAGTCACCATGGTTATACTGTAAAATACATTATTTTCGCTTGGAATTAATTTTCGCCATTTTCACTGAAGGAACGATTCAGTGAAAATAAAATCCAGCGAATATACCCTTTTCCCTATATTTTACGTTCAGCTCGTCAAAAATCAGTGAAAATAAAATCTACACAAAACACCCAAAATGTTGTTTAAGTTTACCCTGGGGAGCAGATCCTCTGGCAACCATAAAATTCTCATTGACCATTGACTCATTGACTGTCTGAGAGTAATTTTGGCCCCAAGGAAGCCATAGAATGCTCCATTTTAACTTAGAATTATCAAAAATTCCACACCCTGGTAGGGAGAACCCTATCTCCCCCACTTGGTGGCGCTGCTGAATTGCAGTGCTCCCTCTTACAAGGCATACTTTCATACCTTTTTACAGAATAAAATTCGTAAAATTCCTAATTGAGGCCGCGGCTTTAATTAAAATTCATTATACAAGAATGACCATTCAATTTTAGGGTGCAATTTTAGTGAGAATATATTTTTAAATTTGCAAACTGACAAAATCCCATAAACACTCCTCATACACACCCATTGTTAGATTGCCAACTAAGCAGTCGTCAGGGCAGGGGAGTTAATAATGCAAGTATTAAATACTTACTTGTCACCAGCCAGCTGGTAAAGCTGGTTCAGTTCCCTCAAGTGTTCAGCAAACTCTTTGAAATCATTTCGCTTCAAAACAGCCTTTAACTCTAGGCAACTCTGTAAGAGAAGTAGAGTACCAGTACTTTAAAATACTTTATTTTTTCTTGGAATGTATTTTTTGCTCTTTGAAAGGATGATTCCGTGAAAATAAAATCCAGCAAATATATTTTTTTCCCTATATTTCACATTCAACTCGTCAAAAATCAGTGAAAATAAATTCCATACAAAACACCCAAAATTTCTTTTCAGCGAAAATTAATTCCAGCTAAAATAAAGTATTTCACAGTACTGTAAAATACTTCATTTTTCCTTTGAATGTATTTTTCGCTATTTTCCCTGAAGGAATGATTCAGTGAAAATAAAACACTGCAAACTTACTTTTTTTTCTAATATTTAATTCATCAAAAATCAGGGAAAATACATTTCATATAAGACTCCCAAAGAGTCTTTTCAGAGAAAATTAATTCCAGCGAAAATAAAGCATTTTACATTACCGATTTTTGATGACAAGACACTGCTATGTTTTGTGTATAACAATCTTATCATTTCATAAAAAAAGAAACGATGCAACTGTAGCAATGGCTTCTTTATTTAATATGTCATCATTTTCATATGACTTCAATCTTTTTTAAGTTTGAACTTATCTTTCAATTCAGGGTAGCAGGGCTCAAGCTTCACAACGGCATTAAAGGTAATTACCTCAATGGTCAAGAAGTTTGCCTTGGTCAATTTGCTAATTCTGTTTTGAAAATGGGTGCCCTAACTGATACGTAAAACTAAATTACCTTTAACATTTTCTGAGACTTCTTTAAAACAATACTGCGGAATACTTTATTTTCGCTGGAATTTTTTTTCACTGATTTTTGATGAGTTCAATGTGAAATATAGGAAAAAAAGTATATTCGCTGGATTTTATTTTCACGGAATCTTCCCTTTAGCGAAAATAGCGAAAATAAATTCCAAGCGAAAATAAAGTATTCTACAGTATTACAAACGTTGAAAGTACTAGGTATGGAGTGAGTCAAATGCTCCCATGCATGCTCATAACACAAAGCCTGCATACTTACCTGTGGTTCACCGCTATGATGCGCCACTTTCACATCTCTCACATTACCGTTATTATCCATTAACACTTCGACATAAAACATGTCAGAACTTATAAACACATCGGTACCAGCGGGACCTGGATTAAACTTTAATCTGTAAAGCAATGAAGCGTTGATCATATTAATCCCGGAACGCATCTTAATTATAAACAGAATAGTAAACACACTGAGCCAAGCTCTAGAAAGGGATAGCTTCAAAATTAAACCTATGTGAACATAATTATGGGTTGCCATGGTTACTTACCCACACTGTCTGGCTAATGCCTCTAACCGTTCACCGATTGACTGCAGTGATGTCCCTAGAAAAAAAGAAGAGAAGAATATGTTAAGAATGTAGATTGATATTTTCCAAATTTGAATGTAGTACACACAGTACATTATCTTCAATATCTAGGCATTGCA